TTGTAATAGAAACCACTTCCAGACACAAAATTAAATAGCCAATGGCTGTAGAAGCAAATATATACCTCAAGGTTTCCATATCCATCCTCGTCTTCTATATCATCATACTGGAGTTTTACCTGTCTCCTGGATACTTCCAGGACAGTGCATCTAAACCAGCAGCCTCTAATACCGCTATCTTGACACAAAAACTCTATTTTCGCATCAGCCTTAATCACTCCATTGTAAGAAGGATGTTTATGAACATCAGTCAGAGAAGGAAATCTTTTTCCCGAGGCATCAAGTTTGAGTCTCTTACATGAGGATTCATAAGTTGTTAACAGATTGGCAGGCATCATTCTCGCTTGTTTTTTCTTGCTCCTCTCAGCACCAACCATTACATTCTCACCCTCACTCCATCCTTCATTTTCCTCTTTATTAATCGCACAGTCTACAGAACCAGCCTCCATAGAACTTAAGCAAGACATAATTGGTTGGTCCAAATATCCACGCAACTTACTCAAGTCAAAAGGTTTAACTTTGTTGTTCCTGAGTTGCCGATAACACATGTGTACCTTTGCCAATAAAGAATTAGGAAAAGAAGCCACACACTCCTCGTAATGCTCACGGGTCAAGACAGTGGCAGGACCATCAACACATTCTGCACTGATGACCTGAGAGTGAGGGGTGATGAAAACCTCTTTTGGGTGTGGGTTTTTGAGAGCAACTGCACCCTTCACCTCTTTTGTATAGTGAAACCACCTCACTTTGACCTTTTTTAGGCCACGCTTGTCCTCATACATATCTTCCAGATATGCAACGTACCTGTCCTCCCCTTTGCTCATGACAAAGACAAAAGATTGAACCTGAAAATGCAGAAGAATAAATACACCTTCAAGTGAGTAAAGGGTCCCATCCATGATCAAGAGCTTAACAGATCCAAACCAAGATGAAATATCAACATATGATGTCTCTGATTCCAAGTTTTCTGCTTACCCCGATTGTTGTCCCATTCCTGCAAAATGATGGGTAATGTTTGAGCTGTTTACCACACATCCAGGACGTTCCTGACCACATAATCTCCCAGTTGTGAACCCTCAAGTTTATGGGAAGCCGGACCTGTGAAAGATATCTTTCCATCAGTATTACAGGAGAGCAAAATGCAGTGACTATTGTATAGAGCAAATAGGCAGCTAAACATCACCTCTTCAGTTGCTTGACCTCGCTGAGCAGCAAATCCATTGCTGGGAAATTCAGGAGATCCATTAGATTCTCCTGATTCACAATTTGGAGACTCTGTAAATAAGATTGTTAAAAAGTTGGTTATAAATTTAGAAGAGACTTTCACATAAAGGAAGAATTATTTCATTCTTCATCCAACAGACAAACTGACAAATATGACAGAAGATAGAGATAAATGCGTACTCGACCAGTTTCCTTGTGTATTTTGCTTAGACAGCATTGAAGTGAGCCAGTCTACAACCTCCCTTCTCGACCTCCATTTGAAGCCAGCATGGATCGAGTTCTCGGAACCATAAATACGCACAAAATCCTCAGAAACAACATAGAACATGTGTCTAACACTTCTCTCAGTTCCAACCACAGCTAGGATGGATTCACCAGAAGAATCCTTCAGGAAGTAATGAACAACACGGTTCCCTCGCTCCTGCGAGACAAAATGCTCTTTCCACTCGACAAAATGTGGATCATTCTCACACATTTTGTTCAATACGAAAATGGTCCAGAAAGCCTCAAATGCTCCGAACCCTTCTTTACATCAGATGAAGAACTAACTACTGAAAGATAACATGCGTTGACACCAATTCATAGTCATGGTCTTTTAACTTAGATCAAATTCTAAAGTAACCCAGATTCCTCTGAAAATAGCGAGTTCAAACAATCTATTTATACCACTGACCGTGAAAAACCCTAAAATCTATATATCCCCCCAAGAATACCCTTAAATCCCCTCAAACGTGGAAACCCTAAGCGATCTAATGCATAACTCTGATTAACATCCTTTCCTTGAGAAACAGCTTCCTACAAAGAGCTAAATCGTCCAAATCTCTGCAGATTTTCCGGGTTGGGAGAAAATCAAATAATCTGGACGAAGAAGAAGTTAGGATTAGAGAAAGCAGAGAATAACCCAGTGAGAGGAAAGTTCCGACGATCTGCAGAAAGATCAGAGACGAATCCGTGTAAACAATGATCCAAGCTCGAGAGCGCCGCCAAACACCAAGACACGACTTTGACTGCGGAAATCAGCTGAAGCATGGCGAAGACAAAATGGGCATCTCAAAAATCTCAGAAAAATATGATTTGTACCGATTCTAAGGGTTCTATGAACAAATGATTCCAGAAAGTGAGGTTAGATGCTGAGAATGGCGGCGGAAACACAAAACACGATGATCGATTTCGAAGATTTGAAGAACGAACAACGGAAAAACGGAGATGAAGAAGAAGAGAATGAGTTTTGATCAAAGTAAAGTCGACGAAAATAGGGTATTCCCATGGATGA